ACCTGCGCGACCTGCACGACCTGCACAATCTGCGACCTGCACGACCTGTACAACCTGCGACCTGCACAACCTGCGCAACCTGAGACCTGAGCGACCTGCACGACCTGCACAACCCACGACCTCCACGACCTGCACAACCCGCGACCTGAGCGACCTGCACAACCCGCGACCTGAGCGACCTGCACGACCTGCACAACCCGCGACCTCCACGACCTGCACAACCCGCGACCTCCACGACCTGCGCAACCCGCGAGCTGCAAGAAGGAAATGGACCGCAACCTGCGTGACCTGTGTGACCTGCACAACCTGCGACCTGCACGCAGCAAACAGGAACTGGAGTTGATCATTAAAGTGATTCATGAATCACTTGGTGCAGGGCAGTTCATGAAAACTAAAAGCAGTTTCCTCTTAGTTTCTCTGTCGTTGTGTCACAACGAGTCGTGTTGAGAATTAAAACATCGATTAGTAATTTCATTTATGAGTCAAAACATGCAGCTTTATTTTGAAAATGAAAAGCATTTCTATTAATCCATTTTAATTTGAAAATTGAGACACATTCACTTCCATAGGAACTCAGTCCTTCTTTCTTTCCTCCGTCTGTCTCCTGACACGTTTCCGTCCTCGTGGTCTTTGACCTTGACCTCTAAGCGTCTTCAAACATCTGCTAAGTTCATGACAAAAACCAACGGACACGTTCTGTTTTAGATTTTTACGCTGATTTACAATGTAGCTGTTTTTGTTTCATTTTCATTTCATTTGATATGATTCTGTATCTCCTCTGCTCTTTGTTTAATCAGGTGTCTGTGGTCAACGAGTCCTCGAGCCTCAATGACACCAACACGTAGAAATAACTAAATCCCAACATCGTCATGTCGGCTCGTGTGGACGGATTCTTCTTTGTTGAGAGAATCCGTCCACACGAGCCGACGTGACGATGTTGGATTAGTTTACGTGGCTGACTGAGCATTTCTCACAATAACTTGATTATTCATAAAACAGAAATGTCAGGAAGTTAACGGAGGAGCTGGCAGAATGTCAGATTACTATCTTTACTCAGTCAAACATCTTTGGACAGACAGTTAAGTGGTATGGCAAGCAGATGATGTATATAAAGTCGTCCCTCACTACCTCACGTTTGGACTTTCGTGGACTCGCTTTATTGCAGTTTATGGACGTCCAAATCTTGCACAAGTTTTTATTTGAATTGTTACACCCGATTGTTAAGATGGAAGCTGCGCTGGTCGTGTGGAAAAAGAGAAGTGTTTCTGTGCACGGCGAGGCTGCGTGCGTGGATGCAGCAGGAGCGGAGGAGTTTGTTACGAGTTCAAACGAGATCGCGAGGGGTCTACAGGTCTGAACAAGGTTTTAACGAGGACGAAACGAACCTGGACCAGGATTAAAGCTCACACTTTTTTTATGAAGGAGGAAGACAGCCCTGGTTTCATCTCTTCTTCATCGCCTTCATCGTCATCACTGGACAGCTAATTCTTCATCTCCATCTCTTCTTCATCTTCTCTGATGAATAACCATTTAAAGTTATTTTTAAAAGCTTTAAGAGTTTACAAATTGTTAGGAACATTGCAACAGTGTACCACATGTTGAACTTGTACTATCTCCACTTCGCTGTTTTCCACTTATCCGGTGTGTGTGGGTGTGTGTGTGGGGGGGGGGGGGGGGGGGGGGGGTTTGTCGCTAACCCCCACGATAAACGAGGGGCAACTGTATTTGGAGACCTGCCATGAGCCAACGTTTTCACAGCTGGTTCCAGCTGTGCTGCACAAGCTGAACAATATTTTAGAGCAGAAGTTTCAGCTAAAGGTCCAGCGAGTCTGTTTTTAATGGCAGCGGACTCTGAGTGACATCGTCTAC